TGCCCTCCCCATGTGAGCAGGAGGCCGTGCACGTGGCGTCCCAGATCAGGCAGCGTCTCCGTGATGGGATGCAATCGTCTCCACTGCACACGCTCCCGCTCCTTCGTTCCAAGTCACTGGTGTTGCAGGTCTCCATTTTTCCAGATTGTCTCATTTTTGGCACCTGAGTTCACAAACTGGGATGCTGTGTTTCTCACTCAGCCCTTCCATTTGGTAACTCGGGCTGTAGGCACTTTCCCATTAAAAATAATAACAATAACAGCAACAAAGACTACCCGTAATCTAGCCCAAATGTGTCAGCTGGTTTTAAGGAAATGTTTCCCTACAGCTTTAATCTCTTTGTACAGTTAAATTGCTGTGCAGCTCGGAGAGCTGGAAATGATTACTCACTGCGTCTCCACTCAGCCCTGGCCTCTTCATTGTGGGGAGCATTAATAGTCATCCAAATCCCTCTAAACCCCCAGCTCCAGCAAGGCAGCCCAGCCCCGCGCTTGGCATCACCCTTGCAGGACAGCACAGAAGAAAAAACTCACCCCAAAGCTCGGGCAGCTTCTCTTCTCCATCCCTGGGTGTCCATGCCAGGATAGAGGCTGGGAGCCACTGGGCTGCAGCCTCCACCACAGCTTCCCCAGCATACAGCAATGGGTCCCTCATTTTCAGATACGGCCTTTGCAAGGAGCCCTGTGGATCTGAAAGCTTGCTTATTTTTTTTTTTTTTTAATGTTAGCTCAACTCTATGGAAGCCTCTAAAATAGTAAGTTCTAAAGAAAAGGCTTTCCATAGGCATCCAAGGCTGGAAAAAAGAGTGAAAAAGTTGAATTGCTTCACTGTCCTGATGTTCTTCTGCTTGTTCTGCAGCAAAATAGAAGTAGGGACCCTGCTGCTTTTTACAAGGCACATGGCACCCTGTGTGACTGTCTCAAAGAGGGGCATCAGGCAGCAATGGGGGAAAGACGAAAGACTCCAAAAAGCTGGAAGCTCAGAGATGGTTCAGACCATTGTACACGACTCTGTGGATCAGCGCAGAGACGTGCTTGTCCGGGCTGATAGATGGGTCATTGCAGAGGAAGGTCAAGTCCCTGTTTTAGGTGAAAGTTCCCATTTTTCATTATATCTGCCTTGATTTATCTAACCAAGCTCCTGGGCATCATTGCAAGAAAGGACCACGGGGGAGGAGGACTGTGGCCCTACCAGTTGCCAAGGGCAAGAAAATCAGATCATCAGATCAGACCGGCTTCCACTTCTCACCCAGGACCACTTCTCACCTGCCACCTGAGATCCCAGAACTGAGCCTTCACCACAAACACAAACAGGTTCAGATTTGGGGGGAGCACAGACAGAGTATTAAACTGATGTGGAAAACATTAACTTTTCTAGGAGCAACAATGCCTTCCCCCTGACCCTTACCGCCACCAGGTTGCAAGGAACAACAGAAGAACATGGCATTCAACCACCCATACACAGCGCCAGCGATGGGAGGCACCAGGGGATGCTCAGGTAGGAGAACATGGCAGGATTAGCCATTAGCTCTTCTCAAGGACCGCCCTGTCCCATATCCAGCTTGGGGAGAGCCCTCAAGATCCCTCCTTTGTGAGGGGCTGGCAGATGTCTCCAGATGAAGTATTGCTGCTCTCACAATGATTCTCCTTTCCTCTTCTGGGCAGCCATGCTCAGCCTGTGGAAAGGAGCCTGGTGGGGCTGCCCCCCTGCCCGGGACTGTGGGGACTTCCCAGGTAAAGCCACTGCTTCAGAGCAAGCCAAGGAGGAAGAAGAGGGTCAGAAGCAGGAGGTAATGGGGGCTGAGGAAGCCAACCAGCAACACCAGCAAGGGTCACCAAAGCAGAACCCAGCTACCACACCAGGACCCAGCCACCACACCGGTCCCACACAGGCAGTGGGATGGCAGCCAGCGGCACAGCCCCCTCCTGCCATGCCAGCTCTGCAGCACGGTGCTTCAGGGAGGAACCAGCTCCAGCCACACTGGCGCGGGCACCACACACCCTGCTCAGACCTGCCCCGCCAGCACAAGGGAGGAACAGCCTCGGCTGCCAGCTCCAGGCTGGGCCAGCGCCCCAGGGCCAGGAGTGAACCGCTGCCCATGGCGGGAGCTCGGGAGAGGTTATCACCACCCACGGACAGTCATATTTGGATATTAAGATTTGGTAAGTCCTATGCAGTGAAGGCAGACTCCTGCAGTCTCTGAGCCTGCGGGTTCAGAAACAGCACTTCCCTTCACCTTTTTTTTTTAAAATGTTTATTTTTAATTGCTTGTGCCTCTTTCTGCCCTTTACATAGTCTCCGCTTGCCTACACCCACAGCACAACATTACTCATATTTCTCTGGACAACTTTGACTATAGCAATCCCCATCACCCGGTCATCCCATCACATTTCCTTGTCACAGTTGGGGAGCACCAGCCACCATGGGAACATGGAGCCCAGCTTTGCCCAGGATGCTGGTGCAGTAGTACATCGCATCCTATCACCAATGGCCCAGCTCAATGTTAAACACACAGAAGCGCAGCCAATGCTCCCCAGGGAGTGCAGGAGAGCATGAGAAGGACTTGGAGAGGGAGAACAGGGATGGGGAGGAATATTTCTTGCTCTTCTGCCCCATGAAGACACCTCCTGCCCTCTTCCCACCTTGAGAACCATGGCTCTAGAGCAGGCTCGGCCCACACTACCAGCTGTGCCGCCCTAACGAAGCTGAGCATTATAATTACTCCTTTCCTTTGTGGTTTGCTCTGAAATGCCGAGCTCTCGGTGATTGCCCTTCTCCTCCGACCGGCCTCATCCTGCACAACACGCTCTCCTGCATGCCTTCCGCAGCAGGATGAGGGGTTAAAGGCAAGGCAGCTGAGCCCCAGCAGCTGGGGGAATACAAGTCCCAGCAGAGGGCTGAGGGCAGCTGGAGGCAGCTGCCGGCGTCCCCTGCTCAGCTGTTTGCGCTGGAGAACCACCAAGCAACAGGATCAAGGGGCAACCAGTGCCACAGGAGCACCTCTCAGGTGCCCCAAACCCTGGGAGCAGCGAGAGGCAGCACGATTTCACCGCCACGTGTTGCCTCTGCTGCAGGCATCACGGAGCCAACGTGTTCACTTGGGGGGTTGTGGTGGGGCCAGAGCTGCAGTGGAGCTGGCGAACATCAGCAGCATGCCTGCACTCATCCACAGGGCTCCCCGAGGGCCCCTGCACATTTTCCCCAAAACTCCTCCATGTGCTTACACCAGTGACAAGGATGCCATCCACCCACCCAGCATCCCAGCGTGGGTGTTGTGGACCACAGGGAGGAGCGCCCTGAAATGGGGTTCCATGCAAGAGCAACCCAGGGTAACCTCAAGTCATGGCAATGGAGGAGTTCGGAGATGACTGGAAAGGGGACACCGGCTCTGGCAGTGACTCTGTATGTCCTTGCTGAGATGGAGAAAGGAGGAGCTGGAGCCCTCCTTACCCCTTCTACTTTGTCTCCTGGCTCTTCTTGGAGGCATTTAGACTGAAAGCCCCTTTTGTGCCAGTACCAAGGGCTGGCTCGCTCAGCAAGGCAGGCCCCAGACAGCTGGGCTCTTGGGTAAAACTCATCCCCAGCAGCTGTCCTGGGCGTCTGGAGTCGTTCTTGATGCAAAGGGCCCTCCCTCTCCCCCTCAGGCAGCTGGGGGATTCAGCAGCTTAGATGATCTTCTGCTCTTAAAGTGCCCAACCATCTGCGGTTCAGAGCTTGGGAAGAAGCTCAAAGCAGTCCAAACCCAACAGGGTGAGGCCAAGCACCCACCCATGGGAGAAGATGGGCCTCCTGGGCACCATGCACACGGCAGCTGGGGATAGAGAGCCCGTAAGGGAGACCCAGGCTGAACCCCATCACTGGGCTGGGTCTTAGAGCTGGAGTTGGACCAGCCTGCTCCCTGCTGGAGGTGTTTGTCCGCCTCTTTAAAACCTAGCTCAGAAAAGCCACACCTAAGCCATACACAAGCACAGTGAGAGAAACCCACTCAAGTCTTAAGGGTTCAATATCAGCTCCACCACTGACTCCTGATTTGATTTTAGACCATGCACACACACTGAAACCTGGGCTCTCTGCAGACCCCATTACTGCCCTGTCACTGGGGAGAGTAGGTGGAGCAGGAGCAGGGGACCATCCCATGGTGGGGCGAGACAAGAGTGCATGGTCCAACTCCAGGGCCAGGCACGGACCTCCCAGGTCCTGGCTTGGCCACTGCATGCCATCCCACAAGCCCCGGGGAGAGGCACAGGGTGGGGAGGTGGTGCCCCCTGACTGACCGCTGCATCCCTCACAGGAGAGAGCTCGTGGGTGATGGGGAATGGAAAAATAATTAACAGAAGAGGGAAAAAAAAACCCAACACATCTCCAAAACATTTGGGAGAATAAATGATGGCTGGCAGGGGAGGGAAGCTGACTTTAATACAGGATTAATTGAAAACAAGATAGAGCTAATATAAGCCAGGGCTCCAGTTTAATAGTGGCTCTGGTCCATGATGTTATTAGACTTTGTCTCCAAAGCCAAAAAAACCCTGACTCCTGCTAACGAAGAGGCGGTTTCTGCCCCACAGCCAGAAGCAACAACACTAAACAACAAGCCATCACAACAACGCTTCCACAACCACCGCCTCTCCGGCACGTCAGAGGCTTTTCTACATGCTGCAAGGCGGGTGGCTCTGCACCCAGGGCCAGAGCTGGCCAAGTTGTCGTTTTCTGCAAGCACCCAGGCTTTTGGCATTTTTTTTTTAATTTTCTTATAGACTTCATAACGTTTTTTATTCAAACTGACAGCTCTTTCAACCAGGATAAACCCAAGCATAACAGCCATGTATGTAGACACAACTGAGCACAGATCCAAAACCAGCCGTGAAAGGCATCACCACCAGAGCCAAAAAGAGCAGGACACAACGCTCGGTGTCCCCGCATGGGGTCTGAGCCTGCAGCCAGGGACAAAGGCAGGCATCAGCTAGCGTCTCACCCAAGCAGCTGCCCAGAGCTGTACTCACCTTCTTCTCTCTTTGGTGGGCTCTCCATCAGCACCGGCTGTGGCTTTGGCTCTGCCTGGGGAGGCTGGGTGGCCAGAGGAGGCTCCGAGCTCTCCACTTGCCGCGCCGGTGGGGCTGGGACCTCGGCAGCCTTCGCTACCTGAATTCTCTTTCAACCAGGATAAACCCAAGCATAACAGCCATGTATGTAGACACAACTGAGCACAGATCCAAAACCAGCCGTGAAAGGCATCACCACCAGAGCCAAAAAGAGCAGGACACAACGCTCGGTGTCCCCGCATGGGGTCTGAGCCTGCAGCCAGGGACAAAGGCAGGCATCAGCTAGCGTCTCACCCAAGCAGCTGCCCAGAGCTGTACTCACCTTCTTCTCTCTTTGGTGGGCTCTCCATCAGCACCGGCTGTGGCTTTGGCTCTGCCTGGGGAGGCTGGGTGGCCAGAGGAGGCTCCGAGCTCTCCACTTGCCGCGCCGCTGGGGCTGGGACCTCGGCAGCCTTCGCTACCTGAATTTCCACACGCTTAGTGGCCGTGTCGGGCACAGCAGCATTGGTCGTCTCGGCTCTTCGCTGGGGGATCTCAGGGATCTTTGACACCGGCGCCTCCACCCTCCGGAGACCCGGTTCCTGGGGCTTGCCGAGGGTGATCTCAGTCCTCCTTGGGGTGGGTTCCGGGGGTTTGTGCCCCAGCACATCTGCTCTTTTGAGGCCAAACCTCGACAACCCTGAGGTGGAGTTCTCCACCTGCTTGGATGAGATGTCAATGGAGATTTCTGTTCTTCTGGACACTGGCTCGGGCAGTTTGGGTCCAGAGAGCTCCACTCTCCTCAGAGAGGGCTTGGGTGATCTTTGGCCTGTGGGGTCCGCATGTCGGGTGGATGGCTCCAAATTCCTGGCACCGAGTTCCTGAAACTTCTGTGTGGAGCTGGACACAGTGGACCTGAGGAGGGGGTTCGGGGTCCGTCTTTGTGGGGTGGAGGAATTTGAAGACTGATCTACCTCCTCGACCTCAAAAGATCTTTTCAGAGCTGAAAAACATGAAAAGGAATTCAGAATTTAGTTACCATCCACCTGAGCATCTCAAGAGAGGTTTGCCAGAGGCTTGTAACCCCACTCCTGCTCCTCCACCTGAGGGTTCATAATCCCATTTAAAGCATGTGGACACTGGAACCAGAGCCAGGAAATTCAACCCTAAGAGCAGAAACCACCCCCACACTGCTCGCTGTCCCACCCGCACCCCACACGTGCTCGGGGGGGAAGCAGAGGGCTCCACTGGGGCACAGCGGAGCCAAGCACGGCACAGGACTTGGTGGCAGCCAACAACCTGACTCCCAACACCTCCCTTTTCCCCTCGCCTCTGAAGGATGAGCAGATAAACACAGGCTTCCTGGTGAGCGCTGCCAGTGAAATTCAAGTCAGGAATGTGAAAACAATCCCAGGAGAACATCAAATCTGTATAAATGCAGCAACAAAAACAAAGGTGGCAGCCACAGAAGCTCATGGCCTTGAAAACAATCCTAGGGATCACCTGGGCCAAAGACTGAAGTGCTTTCAAAATGTTGACATGAGGCCCTGATGCAAGGGAGGGAACAACTGAGAGGCCTTAGGGACATCCTAAAACCTGATCATCATCATCCCCTTTTTACCAATGGGGAAGTCAGGAGACAAAGACAGATGGATTCTACATCAGATTGGATGTTCTGATTTATGTGCGAAGAGGCAGCAGAGTCCCACCTTCCTCAAGCCCCAGCACCGCGCAGGATCTGCCCCCGCACTCTCAGCTGCGGCAGAGCAGACGCACAGGTCACCCCCGCAGAGCAGAGCGGCACTCAGGCCAGTGCCCGTCGTTCGGCTCTGCCCATCACATGGGTCCCCCTCAGCATGCAGAGTTCCACAGTCAGGCAGGCTACGCAAGAATGAAACCCCCAAGCCAGGAGCATGTCTAAGCAAACCTGATGGACACTGGTGTCAGGGGCAGTGGCACAAAGCATTGCTGAAGCTTCCTGCGGAGTGATGCTCCCATCCCAGCTGCCTGACCACATCCTGGCTCACATCCGGCCAGCCACATGTCCCCCACCCAGCCCTTCCCACCCTGCTCCAGCCAGACCTTGCTAAAGGAGTAAAAGCCCTCAAGCCCATCAGACCCCCTGCTCCTTGCAGGAGCCAGCCAGGTGGAAACAAAGGGCTGAACTTCACAGGAACCAGTGGAAACACAGCAAACCGCAGCTGGATCCCATCCAAATGCCACAGGGTGCTCATACCCCTGTGCCCCCCAGCACCCAGCCAGGCACAGGCTTGGGACAGAATGAGGCACAGCCCTGGAGTCCCAAAGCAGCCCCATGAAGCAAGGCTCAGCCAGCGCGGTGACAGGCTCAGTGTGATGACAGCCACACTGCTAACGACCGGCACAAGCATCAGTAATGAGCCCACCATCCTTTACATCAACTGGATAATATCAGTGAGATTTAGCCTTCAGAAACCCAGGCTTGAGATCGCACAGGACACCAGG